ATTTGTCATCTCTTTTCTCTGAGAACACAGAGTGTCATAGGAGGAAAGCTAGACTAAATTTGATGTTCACTTTTTACCAGTTGTGGGATCTTGGATACAATAATCCTCTGAGATTGTATCTTTTTATTCTTTTCTTGTTGTTGTTGTTGGTCATGGGGCTTGAACTCTGGGCCAGGGTGCTGTCCCTCAGCTCTTCAGCTCAAAGCTAGCACTCTACCACTTGAGCCACAGCACCACTTCTGGTTTTCTGAGTGGTTTATTGGAGCTAAGAGTCTCACGGACTTTTCCTGCCTGGGCTGGCTTTGAACCATGTTCCTCATATCTCAGCCTCCTGAACAGCTAGGATTACAGGCGTGAGCCAAGGGCACCTGGCTAGGAAAAGTTTTGATGGGAGATTCCATCTAATTTTTAAATTGGAGAAATGGTGAAATGATTGCTAAGAATCAGTTTTCCACATTTTCAATATAACTGCTTCCTGTTGGATATCTACTCTATTTTACCCTATTGACTTGTAGCTCTTCCGTTTTCTGACAAATACTTTGTATTAGTAGATATGAATTGCAAAAGTAGCTCTTAAATCCATTCCCCTTCCCTTTTGTGGTTCATTTATCACTTTACATCCTGAAAATAAAATTTAAATAACTTGATTTCCCATTTAATAGAATTTTCCACAATTGGTTATTTTTTATGATTAATTTTGATATGGCATTCAAGACTTCTCAAAACAATCATTTAAAAAATGCGATTTTGGGGAGGGAGTAAAAGTGGTGTTCAGATGGATTACATAAGATAGGTAAGGAGTACATTTCCTTTTGAACAGTGGTATATGTCCCTCATTTTTTTCTGGTCTTTCCCCATCTGAATCTCCTACCCTACAAGTTATATAGTTCACTTTCAACATAGTGTCTGGTGAGTATCACTGCTAGATTGCTTCCCCTTTGTCTCACCTTTGCTTATCTTTCTCTGCCTCAAATCAGATAAACTTAAATACAAGACAAAGGTAAGAAATACAAAGCAGCAACAAATGAGAATAAACCAAAGAAAAAAATGAAAGCGAGAGAAAGAACTGAAAACAGTACAATAGAAAATCTCTTATTTCCATTTCTTTATATATATACACGTATATATATATATATATATATATATATATATATATATATATATATATATAT